ATCTGGTGAAAATTTCATGTCATTAGCACCTCTAGTAATATATTTACTGAGAAAAATGGTGACGTGTTCAATACTTATTTTACCCGCTGTAATAATATAGAATATCATCATAAATTTCTGTTGTGTTAAATGTGAACAAACACACAGTCCATGCTGTGTTATCAGTTAGCTCCATGTTCATCATCATGCAACAGGCGGCGGTAGACACACACAATGAGACTCTCCATGCCGACAGGGACTTCTAGGAACAGCTTACCTTTGGGATGTCGGCTTCTGAAAGGTTAGGAGGGGGAGCTTCAGGGTGGGATGGAGCAAGAGAAGCAAGCAGGACACACGATGTTAGTCCACTCAGTGGGAAATCACTTCCATAAACATATCTCCTTACTGGAAAACTGTGAGGTAGCCTAAATGTTCTGTAATACTCCTGTTGTTCCAGGTTGTAACGGGCTTGTTATTCGAGCACTCACTAAGGATGTGCTGCTGATAATATAAAAGTTACCAAAACGTGAAGAAAGGAGGGAATGAACATTACCTTTTGGAAATCAGTTCCTGTTTAGAGCTCTCATTGGGGGTCAAACTCTTCCACACGCCCCCGAAAGAACCTTTGGACATCTCATCGGTGATGTTCACTGTAGCCGGGTCACTCCTGTAAACACGCAGTAAAAACAGAAAGGTTTTACTTCAGAACGGTAGAGGCAGTCCTCACAGAAACGTTTTAGTTGTCTTGATTTTTTAAATATAGTTTTATAAGACTTTTAATCACAAGATTTTTTGTTTTCATGTGGACAGCCAGGACTCAGCTTCGTGAAAGTGATAAGTCAACGGGGTTGTTGTGGGGTCTTTTGGTTGTGTTAATAATTTGTATACAATTCACGTTTAACGCCTCGTTTCCTGTTTTTGTGGGAGTATAACGGCGCCTCACACAGGCCTGGCATAGGTACTGCAGCAGTTTGTGTCGATTTTAGTGTTTTCATGTTGATAAAGGTGTTTCTACAAATGATGCTCTGTTTTAAGCGGAAAATATTTTGAAATGAAAAATTAAAATATCATTTTGGGAAAACTCTGTTTCCATTCAGATAAGACCTTAGACAAATAATTTCCCCTTATAATAACTTATCAGAAAGCTGCTAAAAAAGAGTGTTAATTAGATTGTTGCTAACCAATGCAAAACCATTATGTGGTCATTTTCAGAAAAAAATACATCTCAAATAATTTTTTCTTGAAGGTGGCTTCTCAAGATTTATGTAGCTCTTACCTTTCTGATGTTTGTTCAAATGTAAAATTTTCTAATTAATTTAGTTGCAATTATCGTTGATATCTAAAATACACCAAGATTGTGTTTGGGCACAGCAGCTAATCCACTAGCTTTTGCTACATTTAGTTCTGCTAACTGGGATTTAGCATTTGCAAAGCTAATTTTTTTGTTTGCAGATTTGCAGTCAGCGAAGCTGATGTTTTTGTTAGCTGTGCTCATCACCAGGCAGGACTTTCAGCTTTGAAAGTACAGACAAAGGTTTAAATAAATCCCACATGGCCGTGCCTATAAAATTTTTTTAACAGTTTTATTGATAATATATGGAGGCTGAGATTAATTGAATATTCTTTTTGTTGGTGGGTAAAAACAGCTGTAGGGGTTTTTGTTTCTTCTTGTTGAAGAAGCTAACATTAACTAGCTTGTTAGTTAGCTGTTAGCTGACTTAAAGACCTAATGTAGCAGATGTTAATGGTTCTAAAAGTCAGTGAAAAAGCTAATCGTTTAAAAAAATAATCAATTTTGCTGCTAGCTGTTAGCTGATGAGTGTAACCAGTGGTGGGCACCAGTCCACTAAAGCACAAATCCGCTAATTACGGATCTAAATATTTCATTTGCGCTTTAGCGGTCTTACTAATTATATACGCTATATAAGCTGATTTGCGCTTTCTAAAATTAAAATGCAGTACTGCTAATTAATTATCTACCTGTCATCATTATCTTGAACAGAGGAAGGTAAGGCTGTCAATGAATCACAACACACATGATCTATCCAACAGCACCCCTCCCAGATAAACACGCTTATTGGGAAGGTATACATCATTCTTCATTGTCGCTTTGAGCCACGGTTCTGATTTCCCACAATGCTTTGTGTCTGCTTACGTAGCATGAAGGCACCAGCAAAAAGAGTAAACGTTTGTAATCC